TAACCAACAACAGCTATTGTCCAAACAATACTTCTAAGGTAGAATGTCCTAATTTTTGACTCAAAACAGCTTGCAATCGTATCGAAAAAATATTAATTTTTATCATCAATTGCATCAAATTTCTCATTGCATATAGCACAATCCTCATCATCAGGCAAATATAATTCTGATGCTGCATTAGAAGCATCTCGCATTATCTCAGTTGAGTTCAGACTGGCCCCAGCTGTCTCAGTCTTATCGCTGCCAACATAAGTGATATCGGGTCCGCTTTTTTTGACTTCCTCCGCAGCTAAATTGGCATCACGAGCAACTTGTATCATCTGGGTTGAGTTCAGACTCGCCCCAGCTGTCTCAGCTGTCTCAGCCTTATCGCTGCCAACATTAGTGATATCATGTCTGCTTTTTTGACTTCCTCCGTAGCTAAATTGGCATCACGAGCAACTTGTATCATCTAAGTTGAGTCCAAACTGGCCTCAGTTGTCTCAGCCTTAACGCAGTCAACATTAGTGATATCAGGTTCGCTTTTCTTTGACTTCCTCCACAACACGAGGATATGATCCTAGGAAATTTGATCTCTTATTAAAAAATTCATTAATAAAGGATTATTTGTTACTTCAATCACGCCCAGCTCACTTGATTCAGTCAATTTAGTATTTGAGGAATCATTTCTATTGTCAAAAGCCTCGACAGCGTTCTTGAACAAACAAAAAAAAATGAATTTCAGAAAATTTGATATTGTAGTACTTACTATGTAATCCTTTAGTGTCATCTTTTTCTTCTTTTTCTTTTTTCTTCCAGTTTTTTCAGGTGTTTGCTTACAGCTTGTTTCGGCAACAGTTTTTGGACTATAGAAATACTTATTATCCTTATGTACTTCTACAAAATCTTCATCTATGTATTCAGTAAGGTATTCTTTAACTTGAGGAAGTACTACATTGTACTTCCTTCCCGTGGTGTTTCTTATTTTATATGCTATCTGTTGAGGACTTGCTGGCTTTCCTATTATTTGTAGTGCTTCTAGTATCATATATTTCACATCCATTATTTGACACTGCAGTTTTTTTTATTAATTTTTTAAAAAACGAATTTGTATTACGACTTCAATGAAAATGAATTTGGACTATGATATATGGTATAAAAAAAATTTTCAGTTATTTAAAGTGGATTAAAAATTAATGCTAACTACTATTTAAAAATATGAAATTTTATTGAGAAAATAATATTTATACTACAATGGAGCAAACGGCATAACTGAGTCCCAATTTCTGATAATTTCTGCTTCAACTTTATAATGCCCAAATGGGTTAAAAAGTTGAAGGCTCGACACTTAGATGAGGACTCTAAAGTAAAATTTATTTTATTCTTTAATGATATTACTTATGTGATGTACTATATATATCAAAAGTCAATAAAATTCCAATTATAGATTAAGGTTAAATTAAATGAAACTTTTCTTGCTATTTCCCCCTTTTCTAAATGGTATAGCTTTCTTGTCATATGATAAAAATAATTTTTAATTAGAAATAATACTTAATGTTTATAAAACGATGGATTGCTTTTGGACAGCATATATTAGTAGATACTACAACTGTAGTTAAATAAATTCAATCATGATTTTTTTCACAATTTTATTATAATAAGACCTATGTTGCCTTTTGTCTATTTTATAGTTTATTTCCACTACTTACTTATTAAGTTTAATTTATTTTAGTAATTTTCGTTAACCATACAATGACCTTTTGTGCTTTTTAACCTACCGTCTCATTTCGGCGATTTTGCTCATTATAACCATTTATGAGCATGATTTATCATACAAAGAGCTTTCATATAAATTAGCTTATTAACAATAAATCAATTCATCAAAGGTGATAAATGTGAAATGCAACCCTTAAAAATACATTTCACACAAGGGAAGTTACAAACATTTGAAAGTAAGTATTGAATAAAATCTTTATTTTTATTTATTGAAAAAATAACAGATTTATAAATTATATATATATATTTAAATGATTTAAATTGTAATTATATACTTAATTTTTTTTGAATAATATTATATATTAACATATTAATTTTTTTTGTGATGTATTATGTAGTGAAATTTTTTGAAGAAACAGAAGCTCTCTGAAAACTTTGTAAAACATAAAACCTTTTTCATATGCAATAAGTAACTTATATCAATGGAAACGACAAAATCTTAAAGTTTCTTACGTAACTGACTAATTAAGCAGTGGAAACATGGTATAAACATTTGTTGGTTTTAAATGAATTAAATCCTCAAATATATATAAATTTAGTGACTCTTACTCATTTTTACTAAACTTCCGTGACTTTATCCAAAAATATTTTAATATTACTGCTTAAAGTCCACAAAATATTGGAAACCACATTTCTGAGGTTTCTTGAGAAAAAATATCAAATAGCAAAAAGATGGGGTTTATAAAAGCTGGTCTTGGTGTTGGTGGCTCTGGTAATTTTTTTCTTACGAAATATTCGGTTGCAGGTTGAGCATACATTATAACAGAAGTGTAAAATGATACTATTGGAAATGACCCCTTTTTACACAGAAAAAGCCCACAATAATTTGACAGTTTTAAATACCGTGTATTTAAGGAGGGTGGAGGGTTTTGTTTAAGTGATTGATATTGGTAACAAAATTACAAAATTGACAGCAATAATGTAAAAAACTGCATAGACATATATACGAGTATGGTCGTGTTTATAAAGTATGTAAGTTTTTTAACTTTGCTTTACCATTTTGTTGAAATCACGGAACCATCACGATAAATGACTATTTAGCTTGAATGATTTTTTAATGCGATTTGCATGCGAAAAAGTAACCAAAATACTAACCCGCATTGTAAAAAACAAATCTGCGCAACACAATAGAGCAGAGAACATAATCGGATTTCAAAAGGCAGCAAAAGCATGGGTTTTGCTCTTTCGGCGTCGAGGATAACATGGGCGAGTCGATTTCGGTGCGGCAATAGCATGTAGATTCGATTTTGGACAGAAGCGCGTATCGGTAACCTATTGAAGTCACTGAGACAACAATAGCACTTCAATTGAATTTCAGAAAGCGACGAGGGTTGAGTAAAACCTGTTTTTTTTTAACATTTATCCTCAAAAAAATAAATTTTTGTTATCAAGCGTTGAGCCTTAATAAATCATATTACAATGTAAATGTCATACCAATAATCTAAACTTTTTTGATTTTTAAAGGGGGGAAAATTGTGTTTTATCTAATTTTTTTATAGTTTATTGCTAAAGGACGTAAGTAAATTATAATTACATTACTCCATGCTTATACCGTGTTTCCATTTGTTTCAATAAAACAGTTTTGCTCATTAATGCCGCTTATGACAAAAACTAACCATACAAAGAGTTTTCGTATAAATAAGCTTAAGAACATTAAATTAACGCATTTAGGACAAAAAATATCGAATGCAACTCTTAAAAATAAATTTTCCTCAAGTGAAATTACCAAAGTTTGAAATATTTGTCATGTGTTTTATACTTCATATGCATAAATCAATTTATGCCAATGGAAACGGCCAACTCTTAATTTCATTAACATAAGTAGTTTCAGCTGCAATGGAAACATAATATCAATTAATAAAGGAAATTAGCTTATATTTGTATGAATTTTGTAAGGATTTTGTGTTAAAATGGCATTTAAAGCATCGCATAGAGTAAATTGCGATAGTGTGAACGCAATATAATCAGTTAACACAAATATTTAATATCTTTTTCAATGTAATTTATCTACACTATTACCTACAATGGAAGAAAGGGAGTGAACATATAATGTAAAGTGTCTGATTGCATTTAACGTGATAAACGCTAGCGCGTTCCTTGTCACTTTTCTCTCCAAATTGACACACAGCATCCACGTTTCCACCTCTGTTTAACTTCAATCATTCGTGCGTAATGAATTAATGTGTGCAGCGAAATTCTCTTCATACATATATGAGGTTATGCGTCGAGCTTGGAACCCACCATTTAAAAACAACATTCAATGCAAACGAAGAGGCAGCCTCGGATAAGGCTCCAATGCAACAAAGCACGAATTCGGAGTCGAATTTACGGTAAGCCGAAGATTGAGAAATTTGGTCTCAACATTTACACCGATAAACGAAAGGCTCGCAAAAATCCGTTTTAAGACAAAATTTTTCTACATTACTCTAATTTGTGCGCATGCTTAGTCGGTAGATAAAGACGACAACACCAAGGAAACTTTCTATGAACAGATTAAACAAGCATTTATTTGAACGCTGTCCCCATCCTGACATCAAAATAGTTGTAGGACGCTTCAATGCAAAGGAGTGTAAGGAAGATATCTTTGGCTACTGTCGGAAAGTTCAGCCTTCATACAAAAACTTCTGTTAATGGAAGAAGGCTAATTGATTTCGCCGCGGCTAGAAATATGGTGGATAGTAGTACCAGATTCCAGCATCTCAACATACATAAGCTAACATGGCTGTCACCAAATTAAAACACAAAATCTCAAATTGATCACGTTGTGATAGACGGAAGGCATGCTTCCAATGTCTTGAATGCACGTACTATCCGAGGAGCTAATATCGTCTCGGATCATTATCTTGTTGCAGTCAAGATCCGCACACGTTTATGTGCGACGAAAAAGATACGTAAACAAGCACAGCGAAAGCTAGACGTCGAAAAGGTGCAATCACAACAGACAGCTAATGACTTCCACTCTCCCAGTACATTTACATATTTCTATAGTTAATTTGATTACTCCAATATTATTCACTATACATACTATATATGTTTGTAGATTCTATATTACTATAAAATTGTGTAATGTATAGTTCTTTTTATATTACGAAGCTTATATATATTTTTTAATATAAATTTAATTTTACATAATCAAGAAAATAACATTTAAATATTTCTATAGTTAACTTTGATTAATCTGTTTCTTTTTTTTTTTTTAAATAAAATTTTATTACTATAAAATCATATTAACTGGTACAGGGTAAATGATGCCATTGGTGCCAATAGCACGTGTTGCATCCCAAAGAATGTCAAATTCATCATCTCCATCAAGTTCAAAAAAAACCAGTGCAGAAGAAATTCCTCGTAAAATAATAAAAGGCTTCTTTGCGATATGTCAAAGTTGTGGATTTAGTGGTGTTGACCACGCCAAGTGTGAGCGCTGCAAACGAGTTTTTTTGGAACCACCGACGCGCGTGCCCTTTAAATCAAGCACAATTAGTAGTGATTCGTCACACATAAAAAATCCCAATGACATAACAGAGAAAAAGCAAGGAAGTGAAAATAGTTCTCGTGGTCGCGGGTCTCGTGGTCGCGGGGCTCAACGAGGACGCTCATCGAGAACTACCCGCAAAGCTGAGCCTGTAATTATAAATCTGAGTAGTGATGAAGAATCCGACGACGAATTGAATAATTCCAAAAGGCCAACATATTCCCAGCCGTTAATTGCTCTCAAATCTAACGAGGATATTAAACCCCAATTATACGGGAATGATAAAAGAACTTTACTTATATATCCATCTGGTAAATGTGGAATATCTATAAACACTGAAGATTACAAATGTCTTGGCACAGATCAATATTTAAATGACATAATAATTGATTTCTACCTTAAATGGCTTCATAATAACATTATACCAAAAGAAGAGCGCGAAAAAACTTATATCTTTAGTACGTTTTTCTACAAGCGTTTAACTACTCTGGTACGTAGCCAGCAACAAGCAGATAAAAATATAAAGCAAACAGCCGCTCAAAAGCGACATGCAGGTGTTCAGAATTGGACCAAAAATGTCCATTTATTCGACAAGGACTTTATAATTATACCTTGTAATGTGCAATCTCACTGGTTTCTCGCCATTATATGCTTTCCGAAATTAAAAGGACCTGTTACATATGACACAAATATACCTGTGGAATTACAACAAATCAAGAAGCAAAGAGAAAAGAAAATTGGGGACATTGGGATTGGGAACACAACAATTACTCCACTATCAAAACGTGATAGCAATCGTAAGCTTTTAGCTGATATTGTAGGAGTAAGTGACGATCATGATAGTGTCAGAGATGAAGAGAAACAACCAATTAAACAACCGTTAATCCTTATATTCGACTCACTAGCAGGTGCGGGTCGTAGTCGTGTTGTAGCTACATTACGTGACTATTTATCATGTGAATATAAATTGAAAATGGCCAATGCGACTCCGCACGTTTTCAATAAAGAGAATATGCCTGGGCACTGTGTAAAAGTACCACAGCAAACGAATTCCACCGACTGTGGACTTTTTCTGTTACAGTATGTCGAGCAGTTTTTTAAAGATCCTGTTACAGATTATAGACTCCCTATAAAATTGTGTAATTGGTTCGATACCTTGACAGTGACACGAAAACGTGAAGAGATCTCTAATCTGCTGCAACAACTTTTAAACGAAAAATACGGAGTAGGTCATCAAATTGTTTTACCTAAAATATCTTTTCCCACATTGAATGGGCAGCTAGTTGAATCGCATGATGAATATAATATTGAATTTGAAGAAGACGGAATGGATTATGAAACAGCGGAAGAGGAGGAAGAACTTACTAGTGGTGTTGATGGTGATTTAGATGTAGACTCCGACGAATTAAGTCAATCTCCAGTTCCACCAAAAACAACTGCTGTCGTACCAACACATAGCCGACCCTTATTACCACGATGCGCAATACTTTAGTAAAAATACGCAAACTAGATTAATATTTCATTTTTCATTTCATCATTTTTTTTTTTATATATCAGTTTTCTTTTAAATATAAAAACATATTGTTAAGCGTCTGAATTCCTATTATAAATAAATAAATGAACTGAAGTCTAAACAAAAAAAAAATCTAATATATTATTAGAAAAATCTAATAATACCTAATTTTAATTCAGCAAAATAAATATTTCACAATAGTTTTTTGTTTCTATGGAAAAATTGTTTTAAAAACAGACGATCAAAAATAAGATATAGAAGATATAGAAATATATATATATAAATATATATATATATACTTCATGTGATTATATCCAAACCTTGTCTTATTGAGCTGAGGAGGTAGCCAGGAAGTTACATCTTTGTTGCTTGTAAGACATGCGACCGTGAAGACTCTAATTTAGATTCAAGAAAATGAAATCTGTTCGACCTTTGTGGTCAATTCATTGCAATAGATCAATTGGAATACTGGTATATTTTAATTCTGAAGAACTAAATTGAGAACACATTAATGAAGTATGAAGGTTTTTAGCTTTCCTTTAATCAAAATTTTTACGTTCACGTTACTTGGTACGTCTCTTATTACATTTATTACATAGGGTCCTTCCCAGATTGGTGAGAATTAGTATCTTCTTGCGTGATTTCTAAGAAGCACCTTCTCTCCAATATTACATTTCCCCTTCTTTATTCCCTTATTGCACAATCTCTTAGATTTTTCCTTCGCCTTCTTTGATTTTTCCTCACAGCATCGTGACATCTTTGGATTTGATACTTCAAAATCTTGGAGTAATCTTCCGGGTTATACAAAGAAGATGGTTTTTTCCGCAGAACTATGGGGAATTCGGTGTGGAATCCGAATAGTGTTTTACTGGGAGTCTGTTTCGAGGATGTGTGCACAGTATCATTTTGGACGTGCATCACATGGTGTAGCCATTGATCCCAATTAGTGCACAAAAAACTTCGTAAGAATTCTGATAATGGCTGATGGCTCCGCTCTAAAGAAACATTTGCTTGTGGACTTTGCGTGTTTCTTTGAATAGAGCGTGCTTTGTTTGAGTTATATTAATCAACTGAACTTTATTTTCTACATTACACCATATGTACTTTAACTAAGTAATGCTTTACACATTACACAATATGTTTTCAAACTAAGTACAAGCTAGCGTTCCCAGGTTTTAATATTGTCAATTTTTAACATTTAACATAGTCGAATATGATATCTCTCCCCTTAAAATTATGATAAATTCAAAATATATGTTCTATGCATAAATGTATAAAAATATATATTGTATATATATATGGTTTATTGTTGTTTGCTGATGCTGATAATAGTGTAAGCAAAGTACGTGGCGCACGCCCATGTAACAATTCTGCCGGTGACTTTCCTTCGGCATTAGGAATAGCTCGGTATTTCGCCAAACCCAATTTAATCGATAATCCATAATCAATATTCTTTTGAACGGATGTTTTAAATGTACGTTTTAATCTACCAGCAGTGTTGCTTGGCGAGCTGCTTCATCCTAACGATGCCCCAATGGGGTAATAAAGAAGCTTTAAAACTGGCTGATGCAAGGATTAAGGTATAATGACTCGAGTAGCATTTGTCTACAAAGAAATCAAATCATTTCGAATGAAGAAAGCATACTTACGACGAAAATAAGGAAGCAAGTCCATGTCGCCATCGAATAATTTTATCGGTCATTCTTTCGAAATGGAAATTTTTACTCGTTTTAGTATGTAATCATCTTTGTAGTGCTGTTGTAGCAATCCGACGTTGGTATCATAATTTTCTATTTGATAACAATGTTCCAACTTCTCGAACTCAGGATCTAGCCCACAATGTGGATCTGACAGGCGTGATAAGGCATCGGCATTTGAGGACAATATGAAGTATGCTTTCTCATTGGCAATGGATATCGATTGACATCGATTTGTTTGTTCACTGTTGATTTGAACAAACTGAGACCCACAGGACTATCAGTCAAGCGTTGCGCTTCTATTTTAAATGGATTTATTTGAGCGAATGGAATAGGTCGACTTTTACAAAATTTAGCCCTAAACCAGGTTCAAAATTAATTTTATTCCTCTCCAATAATTCCGCTAATTGTGAATCACTGTTTATGGAGGCAATTTGGCTGATCTCAAATCCAAATTTTTCATAAAGGTCAGTGCCAAACAAATTATGTCCATTACGAATGCATACTATCAATAAAGTTGCTGTTCTCTTTGTTTCACCACTCTTTAGTTCTGCACTAAACTCTCCAAGTGTGTTTACCCGGTTCTTGCCATAATCAAACAATTCTCTTTTACATGGACACAGCTTTGGTTTATTTAATTGTTCGTATGCATCTTATTTTTCGTAAATCCGTTATCCATTCTCTGTAAGTCTGGCTTGTAGACATTACTGTTTTATGGAACTCATGTCTGGCAGCAACTATATGTGTTTCGTCTTTTGACGTCTTCACCACACGAATAATGGGAACTACCAGTGAAGATAATTCGAATTTTATAAAGTAAATGTATTATTATGAATAAATTTGTACAATAATGTAACGACATTCGACAATTACAGTTGGATATAATTCTCCAAATAAGCTTGTGACGAGGCAAAGCTATAGTTGTTAGTGTATACAGGATATTATAAAACAAATTTTGTGAAATAAATTAGCTGTTGGCAACCATAGTTGTCATTTCTTATAAATTTAGAATCTGAATAAAATATATTAAAGTAGGCTGGTGGGTTTAAAAAATTTTAATATCCCAACACAAATTTCAAGTTTTCATTTGTCTATCTTTTGTTCTAAGTGTTGTGAGATATAATTATTAATATACGTAAATTTGACGTAAGAAATTAATTGTCCAAATTAATAAATTAATATATTATTAAGTAAAATGGTAATTAATGGCACGCAAGTCTTAAAAGCTTTGCGAGAGCTAGTAGCGCCGTCCACTCCACAGGAAATTGCGCAGCACATAGCAAAGAAGCGCAAAAGACAGCCAGATCTCAAAAAACTGGAACAGGAAGTAGTTGAGGCGCTGTCAGGTGGCCGAAAATTTGGATTCGTAGAAATGTGCAATGGACAATATTATAATTTAGAAGATACAGAGCGCGAGCTAAAACTTATAGAAAATGAAGGAAATAAAAAAAAGAAGGTAAGTCATATTGTATTAGAATATAATACAACTGACTTAAAATTAATTTTCCTTACAAAGCTGCCTCAAAACCTAGTATGGACTGACTCTGATACTAGTGACAATATTATACCTTTCTTAAAAAAGCGTGAGCGCTTTTATCGTGGCCATTCTTTTAATAAGAAAAAGCCACCTTATCTGCCACCGAAGAAACGCAAACGTCGACATATTTCGACAACACTAGATCAGACAATCTCGTCAGTTATTCCGGAAGCAACACATTTCATGCCGTCAAGCAGCGTAAAATGCGTTTCCTCTAGTGAAAAGAAATCTATCTACTGTGATGATGCAAAGTATGACCTTATAATGGGCGCAGAGATGGCTAAAGCAAAAATCGATGTAATTATTGATAAAATTTCAGAAAACTATTCGAGTTTTAGCAAGAACCACCGTAGCTGCGAAATTTCAACACAAAATGTTGAGAATCCAATTGCTTCTTTTGCTTTAAGAGAAGCTGCTACTGTTGTCAATTGTAAATTAGATGAAATTGTTGATAACATTGTGTCATGTTTTGAACAACAAAATATTGCTGCCAAAAAAAGTAATAAATTTCTTCAATTTATATCCAGTGACTCCAGTACTTCTTCCACCTATGAGATTCGTTCCAAAATGAGTGTTCAAAACTATCTGAAGGAACACAATGGTGCTCAAAACTCTAAGCAGTTAATGAAAGATGAAGATGCAGCAATTTCAGAACTTAGTAACGCATTGCTTCAAAAAGGACAAGTCTATTTCGAAAACTCAGATAATGAAGAAGTTATAATGGATTATATGTCGTTGCCTGCAAGTGGATCGACAGGTGTGTGTGGCATGCATCAGTCGCAAAACAGTATTCAAGTAGATAATCCACGCCATGATCCGAACGATACAGTGCAAACTGGGACAGAACCGGAAGGCATCACGTATTTTTGGCCCTTATATGACTTTTGTCCACGTTGCTGGTTTGAAAACGGCAAGTGTCAGTGTAATTTAGTGTAATTTAGACATTAATTAATTAGACATGTAATTAATTTAAAAACTTTTTGGACAAAACTGAAATTTATTGTATCCGTAATTAAGAAGTGATCAATTCCCAAATTTATTGCTGTCATATTAATAAGTTGTCAATCAATTTGTCTAAATTTTATTTTCTTTCTAAATTAAATGAAACACAACATAAATTATTATAACTGAACATTTTACAGCTAAATCTTTGTCTTAATTATTTTAATTGATTTGATAGTAACGCTGTTAGATAAAATATATACTTCAGTAGTAATGTAACTTAAATGCAAAAATTTGGATATTTGTGAAACCAACTTCAAGACTTCAAAAAATTATCTGCGCATTCTTATAGATCTAATATGATTAATATATAAAATAGTCTTATTATATCAAAGAGACTCTATGACTGGAAAATTTATACTTAATAAATTAATCTGTACAAATGTTGTTTGTATTTGATTATACCTATATATTAATTTTAGACTACAAGATCTACATACTTTCCCGAGGAGCATGTAACCATTCTGAGATTCGATAAACTTGAACTAATTTGTAGAAAGTTTCACACAATTCAACAAAAATATCTTAAGAGGACCCACAGATAAAAGTTAAGAAAATATCAGCTAAGTTTATTTTGTGCATTATATCATTTTATTGAATTTTATCAATCTGTGTTGTATAGCATTTAGACCGGCCTCAAATGGCTCATTTCAAATGAGTCATTTGAAAGTGGTTACGTTCGGTGTATTTCATTTGTTCTCATTTCAAACAGCTGATTTTTTAACTTGCCTGTTGATTTGATTTTGGCCCGTGCCAAAAATGTTCAAACCTTTCAATATAAATTGAAAACTTATT